GGGGGGGAGCTGGGCAACCGGCCCCGTCGCTGCTGGGGTAGATGAGGAGGTTTTTTGGTTGGTTGGTGTTTGTTTTTAAACGGAATTTAGGCCTCGTCTGAACCTCAGCCAGAAGAACCTGCCTCTTGGGTCAGCACTTGTCTGGGCTCCTGGGCTGGGCTGGTCGCTGATCCACTTGAATTCCTTTCCCTTTTCTCCCCTCCCCTCACCTTCCTCCCCCCCGTTTTCAGGAGGACAGGCAGCATTCTGTTGCTGAAGGCTTATCTTTGTAGGGCAGCCAGTGCCTACTTTCAGTATTTCACCACTTCCTGACTCTGCTGCTCGATGATGTTTCCTTTGCCTCAGGAAGCCATTGTGTGCACCCCGGGCATGAGCTGCTCCTTTGTGCAGGATCCTCAGCCAGGGGTCACTGAGCGGTTCCTCACTCTGTGTCTGAGGAAATCATGGGGGGAAAACGACCTATTTAGTGGCAAAATAAGCACTGCTGGAGTTGTGTCTTTAACAGCAGCAGGAGGAGCTTTCAGGAGGGATTTGTAGTTCCAGGTGACCATGCCTGCTTCATTTCAACACTGCTCTCTGTGAGACCAGTAAGTCCTGAAACCTCCAAGACTAACAGATTTATGTGTTTCAAAACTTGTAGGAGCTGGTTTGCAGAGTTGGGAGGGTTTTTTTGCTTGGGTGTTCTGCGTGGGTTTGTTGTTGTTGTTCTGGATTGGTTTTTGTTCATGTGAAAATGTAAGAGCCCTTGTTTCTTGGCTGTTGGATTCTGCTCTTCAACAGCAAGGCACTTTGTTTTCAGAACTTCATTTATTTATTTTTTTTTTATGTAGTCCTTAGCTGTTTCAGGAGGTTTCTTGGTGTGGCAGAGGAGGACTGAGGCAAATGCAGTTGATCTTGTTGCATCATGAGCACCATCTCCCTGGCAGCTGCACTGGGGGTGTGGGAGGCAAAGCAAAGGGTTCCAAGACACAGCATGTTTGGTTTCCCCTAGGAATTATTTCAGCTGACTTCTACTAGCAATGCATATAAGAGGGAAGGACCAAGCTCCTGAAAGAGTCAGATACCAGTTTCCTTTTTTATTTTTCCTGTTAGAATTTTCCTAGTCTGTCCAGGCCCACAAAGTAATGCTCTGAACTTCTAATGTTAAAAATGAGATCAGTATTGCCTCTTTCCTCCCAACAAAGGTATTCCATGTATACTTTAAAGACATCATGCAAGGTGATGATTCCTTTTGCATGGCCTTTGTGCATATCCTTCCCTAAGAGAATGCAGGTATGTTCAATAGCTGCAAGATCCTGCAGTGCTGTATTGGGATTTCACCACCAGTATATAGATCCTGAGATGTATTTCCACCAAGAGGAGCTGTAGATTTGTGCTCCTGGTCAACTTTTGTTCATTCCCCTCTTTTGCTCCTGGATGCTAATACTGTTCAGTCTCCTGGTCAGGTGAAATAAGCTTCATAATCAATTTACTTGATGCTGAGCCTTGCATACATTTAAGCAATGTTATTTATTCTTCTGTTTTAACAAAACCCAAACTGCTGTAAAACTAAATGTAATAACATCTCTATTCTTACATTTACAGGCAGCTGAAGAAGTTAGATGAAGACAGTTTAACCAAACAACCTGAAGAAGTATTTGATGTATTGGAGAAGCTTGGAGAAGGGTATGTGCGCTGTTCCAATGTGCCCTGTGTACATTTCTCTAAAGCCAGATCTGTGTCATGGGTACAGGTTCAGTGGTCTCTAGTTTTTTCCCTTTTGTCATCATCCTGTTACTGCAAAGGATAGTGAATGTGTGGTTAGTAATAGAACAAATAATTTGTTTTCCAGGAGTAAGATATCTTAATCCAACCAGTGGCTTAAGGCTCAGCAGCACAGAGTTAAGATATTGTTGAAAAATGCCCATCTGGAGTTGATAGAGAATTGTAACTGCTGGATTTGTGTAAAAGGCCTTTCCAAAGCTATGGACAATGTTTTTGCCTCCTTTTCTCACCATCTCGGTGTGCTGTGACTTATTTGTGTTTTAGAATGTTTAGAAGCTTGTAGACTGTTTACATTAAAATACAAAATATTTTTAGCAAGAGGATAGTTACTTTTTTTTTTTACCCCATGTCACTTGAAAAGCAAAACCATAATATTTGCATTTTCAAAATGTTGTATTTGGTGTTTGTTTTGTGTTTTGTTTCCTAGTTCCTATGGCAGTGTCTTCAAAGCCATCCATAAAGAAACGGGTCAAGTTGTTGCCATTAAACAAGTTCCTGTGGAATCTGACCTGCAAGAGATTATAAAAGAAATATCCATAATGCAGCAATGTGACAGGTAAACGTGCACTGCAAAACCCAGAATCAGTATGCAAAGAAAATTGTTGCATTTAAGCAAATAAAAGCCATGATGTTGCCTTAAATGTTTTTTAAAAGGCTGGACTTGTACCATCAAGTTACCTCGTATCTCCTGAGTCATGTTAACTGACCATTTGGGTAGTGTTAATCCAAGGAAAGGTAAGATGGCAAAAATTTAGCTTGCACCAAGAGAGCATTGAGCTAAGTTGAATAACCTTGCACTTGCTGCCAAGTGTGTGTGCAGGTCCTGCTGCTCTCCTGATGCACCATCACTTGTCCAACAGTGGAAACCTGATTGTGTGCTAGAACAGCAGCTCCTGTGCCCAAAGGGGTAATGACTTCTAAACAACTCTTGGTGTGGACGTAGAAAGCTGTTAGAAGAGGGTTTTGTGTTTGTTTTTAAGGGGCACATGGATGAGAGCCACTAATGCATGACTGCTCTTGCATGTGCATAATCTATCTGCTGTCACCTGCTTGGGTGGCAGAGTTGTCCTTCCTGGCCATTTTGTGCCTGTGCAGGTTGGAGTTGCAGAACAAGCTGCCTGCTGATCTGAGCATCCCCAGAATAACTTGCTGGCAGCTCTAGGGGCTGAGGGTTGGCTCTCTGGGTTGTCCTTGCATGTTTCTTAGGGGAAAATGTTTTGTAATTACTTCACTAATGAAGAGCTCATGGGTGTGGGAGACCTCCTCTCAAAGTGTGTCCTAGCTTGAAAGTTTAAAGTATACTCATTTCTTCTGGTATTACAAATTTAGCCTTAAGAAGCACGACTTTGATGGACTTCAAGCATGGAAAACCATTTAAAATAAATTACATCAGCAAACTATGGTCCCAGTCACTTACTCTACTGCAGTTCACTCTCAACTGTCTTTAAATGAAGGTTACTGGTGGCAAACAAGAAAATGTAACTTGAAAAGAACGTGTTTGTGAAAAATCTTGCTGTGTAACTTGGAAAGCATTGCTAGATGTCTCTTTTTTTAAGCAATATTAAATATTAACACTGTAAGGCCTGAAATGAGACCTTATACTTATGAACAGCAGAGGGAGTGAATCACTGGAGCATCACATTTTCTGTGCAAGCATGAAGGAACACTGAGGTGTGACTGATTTTATTTTGCTTGTTTTACATATTTTCATTAGCAAATATTCAGCAGAGAATAGATCAAGTGCACTCTTGTTCCTTAGCTCCTTTCCCACAAAATCAGGAACAGTCTTTCAGTTAGTTTTCTGCTCTCCCTTTCCCAGCAGACAGCTGGTTACTGGTTGGATACACTTCACTGGCTTGTTTGCTCTTTGGGCAGCCAAGACAGTCGAGTGTGAGAGTTAGTCTTAGGTTGTACTGCATTCCTAAAACCCATCCTGGACTAAACTGTAGAAAGAAGTTAGGTGCATTTGGTCATGGGGAGCATTCCTCTGAGTAAACATGATAGCTGTTTTCTAGCTCTGGACCTTATTTAATGTTGCCATTTGGTTGCAAATGCTCTGCAGTGGCTTTACTAGGGTCTGCCCTGCTCAGTTTCTCATTCCCTTGTCCTGCCTTCTTGTTGTAATCTGGTTCAGGGATGCTAAACCAGATGAAAGCTTAATCATTTTGAGACAGTTTAGCTCCCTGAACTGACTGACTTGCAGGTTGGATGAGCACCTCTGTGGGAAAGAGGCTTGGCAGGACCACAGGAGCCCTGGGCAAGTTCAGCCTGTTTTGGATTAATTTTGACCAGCGTTTCAGTAGCACTCGAGCTCTGAATTTCTAAAACATACGTAGGGACTCTGCAGTGTATTGTGCATATTCAGTTGTGCTGGTTACTGATACTTGACTCTTCATTTTCTTCTCCTTTTTTTTCACCTTCCATAGTCCTCACGTGGTGAAATATTATGGCAGCTATTTTAAGAACACAGACCTGTGGATAGTCATGGAATACTGCGGCGCTGGATCTGTCTCTGATATTATTCGGTTACGAAACAAAACTGTACGTCCTTTCTCCTTGGAATGTGTGAGTGGGAAGTACAGGTGTCCAGTGGCTCAAGGTTTCAGAGTAGTTTGGGCACAATACTTGTAATCAATGCCTGAAACTACCATTGGCCATAACTTGAGATGCAGCTCCTTTGTTCCTCTGAAAATGAGAAAGCAGATCACATTGGTTGAGTTTTGGTTATCTGGGTAATGTCACTGGTGGAGCAGATGTTGGTTTGTTGGCTGCCCTGGAAGCCCATACTGATTCTGAATAATAGGCTCTCCTTTGGTTATTGCAGGGTAAGAATTCCTTGTTGAGAAAGGGTTATAGTATATGAAATACAGTGCGTGTGTGTAAGTGTGCTGGTTGTAATCTCATTCTGCTGCTCAGTGCTGTAATTCACTAATTTCCCATTAGTATGGCAACCTCTAGTGAAGGCAATTAAATGGGAATTAGTGAATCTCAGGAAAACACAGGCTGAAAGACATCTCAGCAACTGCTAGATTGGCAGTAACTCTTCTTTTCTTTAGCTCACAGAGGAGGAAATTGCTACAATAGTGCAATCAACTCTGAAAGGACTAGAGTACCTGCATTTTATGAGGAAAATACACAGGGACATCAAAGCTGGAAATATATTACTCAATACAGAGGGACATGCTAAGCTTGCAGATTTTGGAGTGGCAGGACAACTTACAGTAAGTAAAACCAAGATAGTTGTGTACACTTTGATTTATCTTTTCAAGCTACATGAATGAGAAGTTGTGATAAACTGGATTTTAGCCCTTTACATCAACATAACGAGCTGCTAAACCAGCAGCAGATTGGAGCTCTGTGGGAGCCATTCCACCTAACTTAATGGATTGCAATAGTGTTTGTTTTGCTCTTTTCTTCACAATATTTGTAATTTCTCACATTACAATTCATCTTTGCAGCTCCCTGTATCCCAGTCTTGCTGAGTCTAATAATGTGCGTGCAAGTGGAAGATAATTAGAGTAGTAATTTACTAATGAATGTTTGTGCCTTATACAATTGCCATTGTCTGGATCTTTATCCTGCCCTACTCAGGACACCATGGCAAAGCGGAACACAGTGATAGGGACCCCGTTTTGGATGGCTCCAGAAGTGATTCAAGAAATTGGGTATAATTGTGTGGCAGACATCTGGTCTCTGGGAATCACTGCAATAGAAATGGCTGAAGGAAAACCACCCTATGCAGATATTCATCCTATGAGGGTAAGGACTGGGGGCTTTTAAAATACACTGCTAGATGGAAAGGGTTTGCTGTTATAGCTGGCTGAGTAACATCTCAACATGCCATCTCGCTTTTAATTTAGAGTAAATTATTTGTCTGCTGTCAGTTCTTTGTGCTGTTGATTAAAAGAGAAGGAGAATCTCTGTGGGAAGGAAAATCATGATGCTCTTCTGTTAAGGCAGCTCCCCATGTGGAGTGTGAAGCAATGTATTTTCAACTGTATTATGTAAAGTGATTTATTTTTTTTAATTGCAAAAGAAAGTGGCAGATTCACACTGTTTGGAACAGAGTGGCTCAGACAGAAGTGTAAGCACCCAGTGAGAAGAGTCTGATTTCTTGCTGCTTGACCCCTCTGAGCAAATATAAATATAATATTGGCACAAATTCTTCAGAAGCACCAAACCTTACACTTTTATTGTTCTTTAGTACCAGCCTATTTTTGTGTGTGTTTGTGTTGTTTTGTTGGAAAGCTTGACATTTTGTTTGAAAATCTTGGACCATTCTTCTCTTTTCAGGCAATTTTCATGATTCCTACCAATCCACCTCCAACATTCAGGAAGCCAGAGCTCTGGTCAGAGAATTTCACAGACTTTGTCAAACAGTGTCTGGTGAAGAGCCCCGAGCAACGTGCCACTGCCACACAGCTGCTGCAGGTCTGCCTTTTCAGACAAGAGCACAAGGCTTGCTAGGGGAGGGAGTGCTGTCTGCCTGTTGAGATGTTGCTTTCATTTTTGCTGCTCCTGCTTACTACAGATTTTACTCTTTAATATCTGATTTTAAAAATCTTGCAGTCAACTTCAACTTTTCAGTTCTTCTCTAGGAACCAGCCCAGCATCAGCTTCCTATATTTATCTTGTCTAGTTGTTGGGTTTTTTTTTGCTTGTTTGGCTTTTTGAGGTTTTTTTACTTTCAAATTCTCACCAGCACTGCCAAGAAACCACCTCTTAAAACACTAAAAAGGGGAGGCTAAATGGAGGTGATTGCTCAACACGGTCAAGGCATGATGGTGAGCTGTGTGATGGGTTCTCAACAGCTAAGCTGCTGAGTAAAGAAGTAAGTGGAGCTGGGAGAGGGGGGGATGAGCTCACAGTCTCACAGCAGTAGTGCCTTTGAAGCATATTCTTGGTTGGAAAGTGGGAGATCTCCCTCCTGTGCCAAACAGAAGTATTCAAGGGCAGGTTGGACAGGGCTCTGAGCAACCTGATCCAGTGGGAGATTTCCCTGCCCATGCAGGGGGTTGGAACTAGATGATCTTTAAGGTCCCGTCCAACCCAAACCGTTCTATGATTGGATCTTTATTTTAGTCGTGCACTGAGTTAAACCTGGATTTTGGTGGGGCGTAGGCCTTAGTAACAGTGTCCTGGTTTGGATGCAGTGCTTATTTGTTTTTAAAACTACTTTCCAGCACCCATTTGTTAAAAGTGCCAAGGGAGTGTCGATTCTGCGAGACCTGATTAACGAAGCCATGGATATCAAGCTGAAACGTCAAGAGGCCCAGCAACGTGAGCTGGATCAGGATGATGAAGAAAATTCAGTGAGTATTTAATAGGAACAGATGTATCAAGTCCAAACCCTTGTTCCTTTTGTAGGGCTAAGCTGCTTTGGTTTTTGTTTTTGCAACACTTGGTCCAATTGCTTGTGAATTAGTTCTTGGGCTTTCTAATTTATAACTGCTTAACCCAGTGCTTGGTCTCTGCTCAATCTTTATATTTGTATGGGGTAGCCAGCAAGCACAGATTACTATTCAGCTTAGGGTGTAGCTAGAGATGTGTGATTGAATAGGTCTACAAAATAGTGTATGCAAAAGCCTTGATACATCTCCTACTTGGATTATATTATTTATGCAGTAATGAGAATTTTTTGGTTTAGATTCAAGTCTCGGACTATTCTCCTGGTATAAAATAATAGTATAACCTGTGATGCACTATGATATAAGTGTGTTTTGTTGTTTTACTGTTGTTGTGCTTTAGAACCCCCCTTATAGAAAGTTTCTGCTACACAAGAGCAACCGACAGAAACCTGAGGTGAGGGCATGACAAGTGTTCAGGGGATTGCTGTGGATTTGAGGTCGGGGCTCCATGTTTCAGTGGATACAGCATGTGAATGTGGAAAGCATGTTGAAAACTGTTGTTTGGGCCTCTGCCTGCTTCAGTGAATAAATGAAATGGGCAACTAAAGGCATTTACTGCTAGTCCTTTTCATGGGCAGACTTAAATAGCATGGTCCACACTCTCTATGCTGAAGACATTGTTCGTCTAGTTTTCCAGTTTAGGACTGCCTGTTTATTCCGTGTGGAAGTAACTTTACTGGTCATGTCACCATGATGTTGAAGAGTATTGTCCTTACCCTCTCTCCTTCGTATCTAACTGATCTGCAGTCACATTGCTGAGAGATGGTGTTTCTGTAGTGGAGCTGAGTGGTTTCTGTTGCTGTGTGTGTTGCCCTGAAGTTTCTCCACTCCGTGTCTGCTGGCAGGAAAGTGTTCCCAAGCACTTCCCAAGTGTTGTGGAAATTTCTACTGTAGTCCTTTGTTAAATGATGTCTAGCTAACAAGTATATTACTGCCTCTCACCCACTCATCTCCACATAAAATTGCTTTCCCTCTCTTAATGTCTCATGCAGTTTTCTTCTCCTGTTGGTTTGGAGGTTGGGAAGTAAATGATTTAGACACCCTTGACAGAACAGATAAAATGCCTGGAGCACCAGAACATGGAGGGGTGTACTTTCTTCTTCCAGTGCCATTAAGATGGAATATCACAGCTTGATGTTCAGGACCCTCTAACACTTACACAGATCAGTAAGCCCATGGTCACACATAAAGAGCTGTGAACTTTATCCTTGTAGCAAAACATGAGCATCTCACCCAAGGTGAGATGCCTGGAAACTATTGTAGACTTAGAAAGTGATTTTTGTTGTAGCTGGATACCTGGTCCACATTTCCAAGCAACTAAATAGATTGTGGAAAATTTGACCTTGTTCTTCATTAAATCCTAGTCACAATTTATACTCAGTGAAGCATACAGCACCTAGTGAAACAACCACCTCTGGCTAACAAAACTACCTGCCAGGAAGTTGTTCTACCAGAGTCTGAGCTTCTGTTTTCCTGCAGAGCCAGTCTCTTCAGCCTTGACAGCAATAATTCAAGCTTCTATAATATTAGTACCCATGAACAAATGGAAATAAATCAGAAAAAGAATACTACTATACTTTGATAACTTCATTCCTTTTTAAATATTTGAAAATTCAGTTTGTTTTTCTGCAGTGCTTTTTAAGTTTATAACAAGCAAAACTACCTCCATGTTAAGACAGACCCTAAAAAGTCAGGTAATCAGTTCTTTTAAGTGTGCCACATGCACTCCAGACTTGGACCTGTTGCTGTCTAATAACCAGTGACTCCTCAGTGAACTGTACCACTTGAGACTTTAGGACTTCAGCTCAACTTTTCAAGCTGGTAACATGGATAGAAACACTAATGACTGAATGAATATTGTAATCTGCTCTCAAAGACAGGTCACTAAGTCAGAAATGAGATACAGCTTGCGTGGAGGAGCCTCACCTGATTGTTTATCTGTTCTATTATGTTGACATAAAAGTATTAAGTCTTTTCATTAACCTGTTTGGAGATGACAGGGGGAGAACTAAGTGCATAAACCAAAATGTTGCTTCTATATGTATTTGTGATAAAAAGACTTGCCAGTGTCTTTGAATCCAGGCATCATCACCACCATCAGTAAAAATGCATTTGTGGCATCCTTGTACAGGAAGAAGATGAAACTGATTCAGGTACCATGGTGAGGGCTAGTGGAGATGAGACTGGCACCATAAGAGCTGTCAACACGATGAGTGATGGAGCCAACACCATGATAGAACATGATGGCACCTTGGAATCTCAGCTGGGGACAATGGTCATCAACACAGAAGAGGAAGAGGAGGAGGGCACCATGAAAAGTAACAAAACACTTTTACTTTCTAGATTATTACTTAGGACCTAATGTGGGCTATGAGGTATATTCCTATTCTGATCTTTTTGGTTGCTTCTTGGGATGCCTTTTTGTTGTAGGGAGCTAAAACTGTTAGGTGAATGCCCTGTGGCAGTAGAGAGACACTTTTAGGTCCAAGTTTCAAGCTGTTTGTCTTATTCTTGCAGTTGCTGTAGCTGATGAGTTGTGCACAATTTCCAGAAGCTTCAGTGCTGATTAAGCAAGATCTGATTCTAGCTAATACTTTGTTGCTGCATCTTGTCTGTTTTGCCTTTTATCACAGAAGGTAGAGCAGGGAGACTAGAAGAGGGTTAATCAATAAAACTGTCTTGCTTTAGAAGGTGATGTGACTGTAACCTGGCATTCAGTTTCAGAACTGATCAATCAAATTAAGGGCTACCTCTGTGAAATGAGTAATATCTTGCACGTTTCAAGCACAGCAAGGCACACTCTGTAGGAGGGTCTAGAGAAAGGACAAGTGAATAAACTGTGTGTTGTTTTTCTGGGACATTAAAGTCAAAATCTGTTCTGCTCTAAAATAGAAAAGCTTTGTCATGGGATGCATGTGACTGATCCCTGACAGTCTGTGGAAGACTTCACAGCTTGACCTGGAGAAGCGTTCAAAGTGTTGTTTACTTTTTTTGTATTAAAGAGATGGCAGGGAGAACTTCCTTGGACATGTGTGACTAAAAGAGAGAGAATCTTTTCTCAGTTATGGATTCTCACAGAAATCTGTTCCCATGGGTTTGGTAATCTCAATAGGATTGAAGCAGAGGTAGTCACAGATGACTCAGCTGGCCAGGATGGGTGTTTGTTCAAGGACTGAGCAGAGTTCTGAGTGGGGACTCAGCACTAGTAAAATACCACCATTGTAGACAAGGCTTGTTCTTTTGCCTCTTGCCAGAGGCTTCTTTGGCCATCTCAGTTTCAACCTTTAGCTATTGTGGGCAGGAAAAAAATTCTCAACTGGAGTTTGGAAAAACCCTTTCTGCATTGAAAGCTTCTACATGGGGCTCTCTAGAGCTGGTGGAAAGATGCTGGTTTTGAGAGGGAAATTTCAGCAGAACCTGTTTAAAGACTTTTCCAAACTTTGACAAACACTGATTCAGAATACTAAAAACCAGAGTTGTGGGCTTACGTTGCAGCCTGAGTAGTGCCACTGGGTTTGGTGGAACAAGGTCTCCGCAGCAAGGAGATGGGTGCTTGGAGTAGCTGAAAGGTCACCCAAAGAGTGGGACGTGTTAACAGCCTTAAACAAACGAAGTGAAGATACAGGTTTTTGTACAAATAGTCCATGCTGTTAGTGTCTAGTGTGTACTGTTCCATTTCAGGATTCACAATAACAGAGATTTTGCTGTCTGTGGTGCTCCTGCCCTGGCTACCAAAGTGTGTCTGTGAAGCACCTCTGTTTAACACGTGCTTGTCTTCTTACCATCTTTTTAAGATGGTGCTTGTAAATCAAGAGCATCTAATGCTCTCTACAGAGTAGTGTGCAGAGGTTTGAGGAGATAACTTTGATAATATCCCTTTTGCAAGGATGTGCTCTCATTTTTAGTAGTACCAGTTGTGAGGATGTAGCAATACCTTTAATACAGTGTAGCATGTAACCTGGAGGGGGAGCTCCAGAACAAGCTCTAAAACCTCCAGGTCTTTGACTAGAAAGTTAAGTTTTTATTTTAAACCTCCCATAAACTTCGGACTTCTTAAAAAGCACTCTGTTTTTCAGCTGCTGCTGTGACAGTATTCAAAGCTGAGTGTGCAGCAGAAGTGCTTGAGCAGCTCTGCCTTCTGGAGGGAGAGTGCTGAGGTCCTGGATGCAAGTCATGGTTGAAACTGGTACCACTTTCATGATGATGGTTCATGCAGTGGTATCTGGTGAAACCAGCTGCTCTCAGCTCCCTCTGCTGCAGGTTGTGCTGCATTTAATAACTTGTACCAAGTTCACTTGTACCAGGTTCCATTCCAAGAAACCTGATGTTAATGGAAATTGTTGTACCAGACTACACCTTAACTTTTCCATAGTGATTTTTTTCTCCTCCTTGCCCAGTATCATCATGTTGAAATTCTGGCTGTTGCACAGAGCACTTCTGTGTTTACTTCCTGGACCCACTGCAAGGGCAGTGTCTTTGAGCAGTTTGCTCTTCATGTGTATTGCCTCTAGCTCCAGTTTTTCAGCTTGCCATTCTCATATTCATGTTCTTTTAACAGTCAGTTAAAATGATTTAACTTTAAAGCTCATCAGGCTGCTGCAGAACTTTCTGGAGCAAATTCTTTTCATAATCTTAGCTATAAATGTAAGAACTCTGTTTGGAAACCACTGAGTTTGAAGAGGCTTCATTGATTCCTATTTTTAAAGTAGTCTATATTTTGCTTGGTGGCTTGTGTTATGACTCACAATAAAACCTGCTTTAAGTCAATAAAAAAGATCTGATTTTTCATACATGCCATTAGTAGGAGAACTTAACTTACTGAGGTGTTTGGGGCTTTTTAACTGCAGGTTTCTGAGCCAATGGTCTAGCCCTTCCTAATTAAAAAAAAAAAAGAAAGAAATCTGCCTCCTCACCAATTTTTGGTTCTGTTTTATTTCTTCTTCATGTTAAAAGTGTTTATAGGACATTGAGATATGATGCTTTAAACAGGATTGTTTTAGAAATACCCGGCAAACAACTTTCAATAGTCTTGAAAGTGATTGTTCTATAAATCAGTGCATAACTTTACAGGTTGAAAGGGAAAACATCCTTCAATTCCAGTATTTTACATGGTAGGGGGAATGTTTTTTCATCAATTCTGCTGTAATTCTGCTGAAGTTCTTTCATTTACCTGGATTTTTTTTTCTGTGCACTCAGTGTAAATATTCAGGCAGCATTTAAAATGTCCCTCTGACATTCTGCTGTGCACTTTGAAAACACCTGTAGTGTCTGAAACTACAGGCCCTACATTGCTCCCAAGAATTTTGGAAGCAGTTGAAGAACAACTGTAGATGAATAATCATTTGTAATAACAGACGTTTCTGTGGTGCTTGAGAGCTGGAGTAACTTTTGAACTGTGAATATATCTGAAGTAATTTAATTTTTCTATGAGAGAATATACAGTGCTAGTAAATCGTGCAGCATTTTTTTACTCTTTTTGTGCTTTTTATGCTTTATTTGCTGTAGGTATTTTTAGAGAGTGGAAATTTGCTATGAATTTGTCACTGATTTAAAGAGTGGAACACGATTTTGTAATAAAGCAGATAATCATACTGCCTTCCTTGGACACTGCAATATGATCAGATCCAAGTGAAATAGGATCTAGTTTGTCTAGCACTGTAATCTGTCCTATTTTCTATGGGAAATTGTTTAAGCACCAAATCAAAATGACAATGGAGAATGTAGAATTGCCAGGAGCAGGGTGAGTTGGGTCGTTTGGTTTTTGAGTTGAGATGAATTGCATTTGGAGAGGGTGGGAGAATTGTGGGTGTGGGGTTTTGTTAATGTGGCACATGTTCAGAAGAGCCTCTGGTGCAGAGCTAGATCTGTGCTCTAATAAGGCTATTGCCTCTGCCTTGAGAATGTAATTAAAAAATCAAGGCTTAATTCTTATCCTACAGTCAGGGATGGTTTGGGTTTTGTGATGCTTTTACTCTGCCTGTGCTGTTAATGGTTGTGTCCTTTTAAAAATGTGCTTCAACTTCTGAGGGGAAATTGGGTTTCATTAGCAAATTAAATGAGCTTAGATGCAAACTTGGCAATTTCTTATTAGAAAAATGATTCAGAGTAAGCTTGTTAGTCTTGGTGGCTTTGTGAGATGTCCAGTGAGTGACATGTAAACCTCAACCAAAGAGTTACTGCCAAGACTTGGGAAACTTTTGGTCTCTACTAGTTAACTTGTAATTTTTCATGTAAAGCAACGACTGTAAAAGCTGTTGTGTGAACAGCAGGCAGAATATGGATGGCAGAAGGTTTGTGATTGCATTAATAATATAATTGAATAAAGCATTACTGGTATGTAGCTGAGGTAGCTACAGGTGGTGTAATATCAGTAATTGTCAAAAAATGTGTAGATGCAGGTTATTCAAATAGCTGATGCAAGGACTGTTGAGAATAGCATCACATTTTGTCAGCATTTACATCATGTGTATGTCAAAGATATTGGCTGTGATTTGCTTCTGGTTTTGTGCATAGACAATTTATAGCAGCTTCCTACTACTTAGTGTTACTAATGTCCAATGGTACATTTCTGTGTTTAATAAATTGGTCCATTTAGGCATAATTGCACCACAAAACACTTTTAGCATTATGCTTTTAAGTAACACAGACTGTTTAGAGAAACACCTACATTGATTAAATTCTTCTCAAACTGCAAGAACCTTTACACTGCCACTCCTGAGGTGTGCAAAACAGAAGATAAGTCTTCCAGCTGTGCTACTTTCTGATTTTTATCTTAATAGCAGCCTTGCTGGCAAACTGGACATAAACAGTGACCAGCACAGTTTGTTTAAGAATATCAAGCTGTGCAGACATGCAGAGGGTGTTTTTGAGCCCTTGGAGCAGCTGCAGATACTGTCATTTTGTTGAGGGTTTTTTTTGCCCTGGGTTTTCTTTTTTCTGTTTGCATAGTGGTTGGCTCCTGGGCTTCTGTGCAGTGTTAGCAACTGAAGCAGTGGTTCTGTGCAGAATGAAGCATGAAGAAAAGTCCTGGATCTGAGTTGAGCACGTGTCCACCTTTGCTTGTCCTGAATGTTGGAGAAGGCTTTAACATTATGACAAAATTATTCATCTAATATTTTTATTTTCAGAGACACTGCAATTTGAGAAAGAGATGTTTGTGTTGAACACAGCTAGTTTTGCTGATCCTGACTCTTTATTATTAAGCCCCCCAGCATTTGTGATGGTGAAGCATAGAAAGTAGGGGGATTTTCTTATTTCTGGACAGAAGCCTTGTCTTGAGGGAGATGGGAAATGTGAGTAATAGAGTCATAGAGGAGGA